CCAACCGATTGCCAAGCTGAAGATTCCCTCGCTCGATCGCTGGGATGGAACGGCTCGAGCTAGCTAACGTCCGCTCAATCAGTGGCGCGAGCTTGACCATTCCTTATAAGAGCACATAAAAGAAAGTGTTAGGGCACTTACGATGACAGGAAGTGGAGTAGAACAGATAAACATCAAGCTATAGTAGGTTACCTGAGCCAGCCATCGGGCAATCCGATTGCTTCGATCTCGAAGGGTATGACCGTCATTATAACGGTCGGTAGGATGGTCGACGGGAGGGAGGACATCCCTGAGAAAATGCGAGAAACCCGTGCCGTCAAGAGTTGTGATCGAGAGTGCAGTCTCCTCGAGACGGCGGCGCTTGCCAGCATTTTCATCCACCTCAACAGAGGGACGCTTAAGTCGATTCTCCTCGAGCAGAGTCTTCCCGGGAGAAGCGGGAATGTGAATGACCGGAGTAGTCTGGTCACGCGGAGGAGAGTGAGGTCGAGGAGAGGCCAGTTTCTCGAGCTGTTCGGGTTGCTCGGGTTGCTGGTCGGCTTGAAGGTTGGTCGAAGAGGGTTGCTCGACGATCAATTCTGGAGGCGGTGAAGTCAAGCGGGCGGATTGGGAGGTGGTCGATTCAGCGGGCTTCGAGATCAACCCCTCGATGGCTTGATTCCTTTTCAAAGGAGCTTTTCGCCTAGGCACAGAGATAGCGGGCATCTCTGCAAAAAATTACGAACGAGTTAAAGCCACAATAATAAACAATATGTGAAACAAACATGATGATGCTCGAGCCTGTTCAGTAACAACACATATCTGGGTCGCCTTCGATCCGGATGAGATCGAAAGTTTTCTGGCTAGGGAGAGGACAAGATTTGTGGGTAAGAAGTCCACAGAAATGCAGGAGGTCCTCATCCTCGAGCAAGGTCTTCGATGCAACAGGTTTGCTATTCCATACTGCAATCCGTTGGTCGAAGAGCGCGTTTGTTGAAGGCGTTGAATACTCACGTGGCATTTCTTGAAGCCAAGGCGATGGCGCCCAAGGGAAAGCGGGTTTGGGCTCGACAAAAGCAAATTTGTCTTTCCACTTGGGGACGTTTGATGGAGTGTCCGAAATAAAATGGACATCGTTGTGGCTCTTGAGGTAGAGCCCCTGAGTATGTTTCGAGGGCGTATAGCAATAATGAAAGAAATCTAGGTCGAGCCGACCTAGATGAATGTGGCAGAGAATGATGAAGACAGTGATAAGACGGATGGCATTAGGGGGGAGTTGGTTCAAGGGCAGGTCTAACACTTACAGAGATCGAGCAAATTGTGGCTTAGGGAAAAACGGACGCCGAGTTTAAATTGAATTTCAAAGAAAGTGTAGTAGTTCTGGGGAGGGTTATCAAAGAAATCCCGAGGGCCTGGAGATACGAAAGCCCAATTGGCGGGATAGCCGACTTCATCGGCATCCAGCCAACTAGCAATAAGAGAGCGAGAGGAAGAAGAAGTCTTCTTAGAAGAAGAAGAAGACACTTTGATCGACTTACCCTTCTTTTGGGTAGCCTTAAGAGAGGTAGCGACAGGGACAGCTGCAGATGCAAGGGGTGTAGCGGCAATCGAGGCTTTTTTAGCGCCTTTTTTAGGATTAGTGGGAGAGGCAACTCTAGAAAAAACAGAATGGCGAGAAAGGGGAGCATTATCTTCATCCTTCTCAGCAGCGGCCTCAGCCGCATCGAGAGCCTCTTCAGCGGCGTCAGGAGCCCCAAACGCCGGTCGACGGCGATTGAGGGGGATATGTCGAGGGCATCCTCGTTCGATTCATCAATCAGACGATTAGGTTGGCGAGGAGAAGAAGGTATTGCACAATCGGAAGGGCGTAAGACACTGAGAGGAGTGGGATTATAGATTTCTTCGACAGAGAAGGAAGGCGAGTGAGTGATAGGCCGATGAGTGGGGAATGATGACGTGGCGGTTTCATCTTCAACAGAATGATGGCTTGGTGCGTTAGAATCAACGGAATCTAAAAAGTAGAAAGGAAAATTGAGAGGAAGAGAAGAAGAGTTAGGGTTTTTGAAAGCGAAGAAGGAGGTTTTTACCACAGACGAGACGAGAAGGATTTTGGGAAGGGAAGAAGCAACAGGGAAAATAAAAAATTGACAAAATAAATGCATGAAAATACAAAGTTAAAGCATAGGAGACTTACTCATGGTTGCAGTGGAGAGCGGTTACCGAAAAATGTTTGACGAAGAAGCGCCGAGAGCAGGAAAGCACAGTTTGCAGAGGAAGAAATTAGGGTACGAGGAAGTTTGAGATTTGCAAAAGTGAGAAAAGTTGGAAAATCTGCTAAGCACCGTATTTATAAGAGGACAGAGGAATAAGGTGAAGAGTTAATGGAGATAGCCGTTAGATAAAAGGAGATCCAACAGTGGGAAGAAATTAAAGGGGCACAGATAGCGAAGCGGCACAAATCGCGAGGAGGTATGATGATTAAAGGTACTGAGCGGAAAGGACATATGGCAGGCGGAAATTACGCTAATAATAAAAAGAAATGGAGGACAGTTAAAGCGCACCATAAAATCGATCACGTGGTCGAAGAATGGTGGTGGCCTCAACCGAAACGATCGAAAGAGGAGATCAGATGTAAGCAGGAGGTCGAGAGGTTGGCAGAACGGAGAAGACAGCTCGAATTCACTCTTAAATCGAGTCATTTAGACTCGACCAGAGTGGGGGGGACTAGACGATATGGGATATTATATAGCTAAAGAATAGACCGGTTTACCACATTGGTCGGGCAAGCTCGAGGTAGAGAAAACTGTATTGGTCGAGGGATAATCGACCAAAAGGGAAAATATCGAGCAGAATAGCAGAACTGGTCGAAGATCGACCTAACGACGAGGGACTCAGTCAGATCGAGCACTCAACAGGTGAAGAGCAGTCAAGAGCGTGGCTTGAACGTGAGAAAGCGCGTGGGCGGCGTTAGAAGATCCTAACGGGATGCGCAGAGAATAATCTCCCTCTGCTCAGAGGGACATGTGGCGAGAGTACATTGGTGCAGAGCAATAGTGGTGATAACCACCTCTGACGCCTTTGACACACGCATACTGTGTGCGTACGGACGGGCAGTACGGGCAGGACAGCTCACCAGATCCGAGCAGCTCCTAGGGCAGGTACCTCACTCCTATATATATATAAGTGAGTCTTTTCTTGTGACTTACGATTTATCCATTACATACTTTGGAGAATTGAGTAAAATATACACTGACTTAAGCATCGGAGGCTCTTCACCGGAAAACCCCTCTGGGGTGAGAGTTCTGTGCAGGTGCGCGGCGTTCTACCGGCGAGGAGGAGGAAGGTGAACCGATTTCAAGCCCGTCGGAGTGTTTTGCGTTACCACTCCAGGTCTGGTACTAATTTTGAAAATGTTGACTAAATTTGAAGTAATCTATTTTTTTCTTTGTACAAAGTAGTTACTAATTGATCAATAAACGGCACTGCGTAGAAGAAGAAGTGATATTGTTTATGGAAAAACTGGTTCCATTCTAGGAAATTTGAATTTTTTTTTATGTTCGTCGGAGTTAGTATTATAGACCCGATATCTGGTACTAGAATACCATAATTGCGGTACTATTTAACTTTAGGTTTGGTACTAATTTATCGGCTCATTTAATTTATGGCTCAACTTGATACGGGCACAACTCAGAAGCTCAAGCTTACATCCGCAGTGTTCAAGCTAGATTACAATAGCAATTGCATAAATAATACAATTTTTTTTAATTCATAAGGCATTTTGTATTGGTTTATACTAATGAAACTCATTTTTATTGTTGGTCAAGTGGCTTGATGCTCATTTGAGGTAAAATCCCCACCCACAAATAATGTACCAACATTCTTTTACAGTGACAGGCTATTAGACTTTTGATCTATTGTTTAAATGCAGTTACAAAACTTTGATTGGAGGAAAATTCAAGATGAAAATATACTCGCTGGGCCACCAGGCTCGAAAACAATGTCCCGAACCCGGCACGGACCTATACTCGTGCCGGGTCAATGGCCCGGTTGACCGGGTCTGGCCGGGTCCTTCATTTTTTGAAAAAATAATAGAAAAAAATAAAAAAAAATAGAAAAAGCGGGCCATCGTCCTGGGCCCGCTGGACCAGGTCATGAAACGAATGACTCTAAAACGGCCCATCGATAATTAAAATCTCTAAGAGCCGATTCGATGGCATCTTCTCTTATTATCTTTCTAGTTAATTCGTTCCGGTCCTAGACCTGTGGTCAAAGGGTTTGACCGGGCTGGGTCGGGCCTTGGCCATGTCTAACATCAGCCTTCTATGATATATCACAATGAAATCGGGCAAGACCAAGCAAAACATACATTATTCATGACCTCAGTACTTTTTTCCAAAGCTACTAAGACTAAGAGGGAGGTACAGGACCTTACAGTGTGAATCATTTACAAGACTTTATATCACCAAGCTCTATTCCTACCAAGAACAAAAAGAAAAAAAAAAACATAATGTCATTAAAAATAATGTCCAACCACTTTGTGTAATTCACACAAGTACCAATCTAATTCACACAAAATTTCTCAACTACAGATTTTGCCTGCAGCATTTAGAAACTATAACAAGATAATGTAGCAAAATTAGTGATCCAGAATGCATATAAGCATGGTTCATTCATTGCAAAAAGTATGATACGGAACAGAACTTCCACACACTCACAAAGTGTATTCAACTAAAATGGATTCATTTACATAAGTCACAAAAGAAAAAGGAACAATATCCAAAACAACAAATATTACATGAAAATGCACACAAACACACAAACTATAATTGCCCTTCCCCAATCATCAAAATTCAAATAACCCCTCAATCCCAAAACCTAAATATTAACAACACTATCATAATCCAACACACCCTCAAACCGGCAGCTATCATCCAAACCAAATTCATCCACAACAGCACCCTCAAATAATCCATTTTTATTACTACTCTTCACCTCCGCTATTGCCTCTCCCTTGGGGGCAGATGATTTGCCATCGTCGATTGAATTCCCAAGTTGAGATCTGGGAAGAAAGTGAAGATGACGACAAAGGGATTATGAAGAGTTTTAGGAACTTTGGTCTGGAGCGAGATGTTGTCGTTGTGCTTGATTTTCTTCGCCTTTTGGGGATCTGAAGTTTCTGTATTTTTTTTTTTATCTGAACACGTTTTGACAGAGAGAGATTTTTGGGTAGAGAGCTGCAGTTGCACTATCGTGTGCCTAGGCACACCTTGCTAGGTGTGCCATGCCCGATTTGCACGCGCTGCTCATTCTCAAAAAGCTCAAAAAGCTAGAAAATTTAGAAGGTGTAGTGCACTCTCCCAATTTTTATTTTTTAATGAAAAAATGAGACATATTACATAAATTAAAATATCATTAATTATTTATATTAAAAAAATAAAATAAAAATACCAAAATTCATAATTTTTCATTATCTATAAATAGAGACCACATTTGATAGGTTTTTGAACACAACTAATTTTCGTTTTTTGGTAACATGTTCAGCTTATTGTGTATGTAAGATGTTCATTTTATTCTATAACATGTCATTTTATTATGTAACATGTTCATCTTATTCTATAACATGTTCATTTTATTATGTAACATGTTCATTTTATTCTATAACATGTTCATCTAATTTTCATCTGTGAAAATGTAACATTTTCATCTTATTAGAGAAGATTTTGGTTTGTGAAGGTGGAGGATATTCGATCGAAAGACTAATTTATGAAATTTCTTTTACATTCTACTAGTTTTTCACTTTCATTCCAGATAGTATGACTATTGCATAAATTTGAGTTCTTATATGTAGATTATGGTTTATTATTTCAAGGCGGGGGTGCTTGCATTAAACGAGTGAAAGTCGAGCAAGAAATTGACCAGAATTTTGTGTATCAAGTGAAAATTGGAGAAAATAATGTGAGAGCCCGTGATGTAGATATGGAATCTAAACATGTCCATCTTATTCTATAACATGTCCAACTTATTCTATAACATGTTTATTTTATTATGTAACATGTTCATCTTATTCTATAACATGCTCATTTTATTATGTAACATGTTCATCTTATCGTATAACATGTTCATTTTATTATGTAACATTTTAATCTTATTTTATAACATGTTCATCTAAATTTCATATGTGAAAAATGTAACATTTTCATCTTATTAGAGAGGATTTTGGTTTGTGAAGGTGGAGGATATTCGATCGAAAGACCAATTTATGAAATTTATTTTACATTCTACTAGTTTTTCACTTTCATTCTCTATAGTATGACTATTGCATAAATTTGAGTTCTTATCTGTAGATTATGGTTTATTATTTCAGGGCGGAGATGCTTGCATTAAACGAGTGAAAGTCGAGCAAGAAATTGACAAGAATTTTATATATGAAGTGAAAATTGGAGAAAATAATGTGAGAGCCCGTGATGTAGATATGGAATCTAAACATGTCCATCTTATTCTATAACATGTTTATTTTATTATGTAACATGTTCATCTTATTCTATAACATGTTCATTTTATTATGTAACATGTTCATCTTATCGTATAACATGTTCATTTTATTATGTAACATGTTCATCTTATTTTATAACATGTTCATCTAAATTTCATATGTGAAAAATGTAACATTTTCATCTTATTAGAGAGGATTTTGGTTTGTAAAGGTGGAGGATATTCGATCGAAAGACCAATTTATGAAATTTATTTTACATTCTACTAGTTTTTCACTTTTATTCTCTATAGTATGACTATTGCATAAATTTGAGTTCTTATTTGTAGATTATGGTTTATTATTTCAGGGCGGAGATGCTTGCATTAAACGAGTGAAAGTCGAGCAAGAAATTGACCAGAATTTTATATATGAAGTGGAAATTGGAGAAAATAATGTGAGAGCCCATGATGTAGATATGGAATCTAAACATGTCCATCTCATTCTATAACATGTTTATTTTATTATGTAACATGTTCATCTTATTCTATAACATGTTCATTTTATTATGTAACATGTTCATCTTATCGTATAACATGTTCATTTTATTATGTAACACGTTCATCTTATTTTATAATATGTTCATCTAAATTTCATATGTGAAAAATGTAACATTTTCATCTTATTAGAGAGGATTTTGGTTTGTGAAGGTGGAGGATATTCGATCGAAAGACTAATTTATGAAATTTATTTTACATTCTACTAGTTTTTCACTTTCATTCCCTATAGTATGACTATTGCATAAATTTGAGTTCTTATCTGTAGATTATGGTTTATTATTTCAGGGCGGAGATGCTTGCATTAAACGAGTGAAAGTCGAGCAAGAAATTGACCAGAATTTTATATATGAAGTGGAAATTGGAGAAAATAATGTGAGAGCCCGTGATGTAGATATGGAATCTAAACATGTCCATCTTATTCTATAACATGTTTATTTTATTATGTAACATGTTCATCTTATTCTATAACATGTTCATTTTATTATGTAACATGTTCATCTTATCGTATAACATGTTCATTTTATTATGTAACATGTTCATCTTATTTTATAACATGTTCATCTAAATTTCATATGTGAAAAATGTAACATTTTCATCTTATTAGAGAGGATTTTGGTTTGTGAAGGTGGAGGATATTCGATCGAAAGACTAATTTATGAAATTTATTTTACATTCTACTAGTTTTTCACTTTCATTCCCTATAGTATGACTATTGCATAAATTTGAGTTCTTATCTGTAGATTATGGTTTATTATTTCAGGGCGGAGATGCTTGCATTAAACGAGTGAAAGTCGAGCAAGAAATTGACCAGAATTTTATATATGAAGTGGAAATTGGAGAAAATAATGTGAGAGCCCGTGATGTAGATATGGAATCTAAACATGTCCATCTTATTCTATAACATGTTTATTTTATTATGTAACATGTTCATCTTATTCTATAACATGTTCATTTTATTATGTAACATGTTCATCTTATCGTATAACATGTTCATTTTATTATGTAACATGTTCATCTTATTTTATAACATGTTCATCTAAATTTCATATGTGAAAAATGTAACATTTTCATCTTATTAGAGAGGATTTTGGTTTGTGAAGGTGGAGGATATTCGATCGAAAGACTAATTTATGAAATTTATTTTACATTCTACTAGTTTTTCACTTTCATTCCCTATAGTATGACTATTGCATAAATTTGAGTTCTTATCTGTAGATTATGGTTTATTATTTCAGGGCGGAGATGCTTGCATTAAACGAGTGAAAGTCGAGCAAGAAATTGACCAGAATTTTATATATGAAGTGGAAATTGGAGAAAATAATGTGAGAGCCCGTGATGTAGATATGGAATCTAAACATGTTCATCTTATTCTATTACATGTTCATTTTATTATGTAACATGTTCATCTAAATTTCATCTCTGAAAAATATAACATTTTCATCTTATTCTATGACATGTTCATCTTACTCTATAACATGTTAATCTTACTATGTAACATATTTATCTAATTATATATTTGCGTCATAATCTTCCAATAAGATAAATTAATTGTAAAAAATGATAAATTAATTGTGTTCCAATGTTCATATGTTCATCTTACTATATAACATGTTCATATGTTCATCTTATTTTATAACACGTTCATATGTTCATCTTATTGTGTAAATATGTAACATGTTCATCTTATTCTATAACATGTTCATCTTGTTATGTAACATGTTCATCTTATTGTATAAAATGTTCATCTAAATTCCATCTGTAAAATTATAACATTTTCATCTTGTTCTATAACATGTTCATTTTACTATATAACATGCGCATCTTAGTATGTAACATGTTCATCTTATTATATATTTGTGTCATCACCTTCCAAAAAGATAATTTAATTATAAAAAAGGATAAATTAATTGTGTTCCAAAACTTATCAAATGTGGTCTCTATTTGTAGAGATTGAAAAATTATGAATTTTGGTATTTTTATTTTTATTTTTTAATATAAAATGTGAATAATAATTTAATTTATATAATATGATATGTAAAATTTATTATCCAATATATATTGGACACTTGTCTTTTTTAAACAAAAAAAGAAAAACTTGCATACCTTATTATCTCTCTCTCTGCGCGTGCACCTAGGATTTGGACAGGATTTTTATTTGTAAAGCCACGCTCCTTTTTCTTACGTGTAGCCACTCTCTGCCTTGGTACACCTAGCAAGGTGTACCTAGGTGCACGTAAGTATTTGCGAGAGAGCTGTGATCTTTTCTAATTTTTTTATGATTTTTGTACAAAATAAATGAATAATAATAATAGTAGTATATAGAGAAGGGATCATATGAGAAAGGGAGATAATAAAAGAAATAAGAATAGATCTACACCATTGGTTCCATCATACTGATGGTCATGATCTAGTCAAACTTAGTAATAATAGTCAAACATGTAATGGCATTCTAATAAATAAATAGATAAGTCATGGTCAAATATGTGTATTTGACCATTCATTAAGGATAAAATTGTCATTTGTAATATCTACAACTCAACAGTGGGACCCACCTCCATATACCACATAATGACTCTCTCTCTCACACAAAACACACACTTTATCTCTCTCTCACTCATGTAACACGCAGACACACACACACACCTCACACACTCGTCACACACACACACACAGTCGTACAGATATCAAACACCAGACTTGCCGCCCGTCTCCCGGCATCGGCTGCCGTCCAGTGAAGATCGCCACCATAGTATCCCTCTCTCTCCATAAATCCAGCGGTCAGTCAGTCACGGATTTGTCATCTCCCGGCCGTCTGCAAGTTAATTCCGCCGTCCACCACCGTCGTCGACTCATGGCTTTCTCACCGTCTGCAAGTTAGTTCCGCCGCCGACTCAGCCATTCCGACAATTTTTAGAGAGATCGCCGGCAGTCTGTCGACCGCATCCCGCCGCAAAAACATCTTCCCCAGACAAGAGGTGCTCCCCGACGATGACGGTGCGGCCACTTCGGAGTGCAGCGGCGTGCGGCCGCGAGTGTGGTGCTCGCCGGAGAACTCGTCCGTTATGGCAATCAGAGACAGTCATCGGCGGCAGGGTGAGGGTGTTGGCGATAGGATGAGGCTTTCAGATTTGTATGCCGGTCAGGGGAGGTCCGATGGTGCAGGGTGAGATTGTTGTCGGCACGGCGGCAGTTGCGGGAAAAGATCGTCCAGATCTATAATAATGGACATGGATATGAGTTGTAAATTTGATATCAGCTATGTAACAATGGACATGGACATGAGTTGCAAATTTGAAAACATTTAGGGGCTTAATTACAATTTCAACAATTTTAATAAACTACAATTGAGTTCATAGTTGAATTTGTAATTAATCAAACTATAAATTAATAATTTAACATTTCATTTAATATTTACCATTTTTTATAATTTTACTGAAATAAATTTATCTAAAAAATATAATAATTCAAAATAATAGATAGTTCGGCCGTTCGATTATGTCATTCATCTAAATATAAAAATATTACATAATACTGAAATAACCAATATATAAAATAATAATAATAATAATAATCAAACCACAATATGAAATTTCGTACTGAATTTTTGTTCCTTGGATCTCGTTCGATTTTGTGCAATCTAGTCGATATTTATGTGCAATCTGTATATCCCTAATGTGCACTCGCAATACATAAAAAATACAAATAGAAAAATATTATTATTTTTAATAAAAAAATATAAATAAATAAAAGTCGGTAATATTTTTCATATAGTTTGGCATGTTCAGTTATTTTGTTTATTTAAAAGAACTAAACCCGACCTTTAACCAAATAATATTATTCTACCAATTAACATTATTACTGTAATTTTGGTATGAGCAGCGTGCTGTTTTATAAGGTGCAACCTGTTGCGTTATAAGGTGCAATATACTATTGTGTAAAGTGCAACGTATTGATATATAAAGTACAATCCTAAAACTTTGATATGTTATNCAATATTTTAGTATATTTTTAAAAATAAAATAAAATGAAGTATATTAAATAGGGTCGACAAAACCGTATTACAAAATTTATAATATCAATATTAATTGTCTTTTTTTTTCTGAAACGATAGAATATGATATATCATCAAATGTACCAAATACAAGCCGAGAACCAACTGGTTCTAATACAAGAGAAGCACCATCCTACAGGTGTTCTAGAATACAAAAACTACACCAACACAACACATACAAGCTTACAGAAGCATGCTAAGGCCAGGATAAGTCTGTATCCCTTAGCATCTCATTTTAGCTCGGATTACCAGACAAAACAATCAACTACAACAATAACTGAACAATAACAGAACAAACCTAACCACTACCAATAAGAAAAAGCAGAACCAAACTAAGAAAGGAGCAATAAAGAAGCACCCACTGGACATCAAAGAACCTAGGCCCACTTCCCTCCTGCTGAACCTAACTGCTGTTCCTGCGTGCAAATTCCTGCCAGTCCTTCATGGCAAGTTTAACAATGACATGAGCTGGCAGCCACTCCTTTTTGAATACCCACAGATTACGAGCTTTCCAGAGCCACCACAATATGTATGTGGTGAGCTCTATTCTGGCCACAGACACTTCAAGATTATTCACAGAACAAACATCTAGCCACCAGTTCCTGAATTTAGTTGATACATCAAGTGCAATATCCTAGTAAATAGGTGAGTTTTTCCAGACTTCCTTTGCTTTCCAATTTGAATGTCTAAATGTTATATGTCTAGTTGCTTAAATGTGTATTTGTATTATTATTATTTTTATTATTATTAATAATGTGTGTAATAAAATATATAAATATCCGGTTTCATTTAATTTATTGTGCGGTCGATTTGAGCCGTCGAAAGTATTAATCGGAGAATCGAGCCCGAAAATCGAATCGTAATTTTCGTGAAGTTTAAACCGAGCCCGAGAGTTGGTTTAATTGTGAATTCAGTGCACGTGTGACTGTCTTGAAAGTCAAGAAATAATGACCTAATCATTGCTCATATATATATACATTATGTATCTATCTTCTTCCTTGTAAAAGCAAATCCCAATCGCGCAGCTCTTCTATTTTTTTTTTCTTCAAATTCTGCTCTGGTCTCTTTCTCTCAAACCCGCGGCCTCAATTTCTCTCTTTTCTCTCAAAATTGATAACGCGCAGCTCAATCTCTCCCTCTCCCGCAAAGAACCAGTCACCCCCATCACCCCTCCCTTGCGATTTCGCCGTGAAAACTCCTCCGCACGTCCGCAAATCAGAGCCCAACTCTGCGAGCCCTCCCTCTTTTCCGGCAATCGCGACACTGCTGCCCCTCCGCCACGAACAGAAGCAGACCCGTCGCCGGTCACCTCCTCCTCTATTGCCGCCGCGAATCAGGCCTTCCGGCGAACTCTGCAACTCCCGACGAAGCCGCTGCAAGCTTCTCCCTCCGGCGATCCGGCAAGCACGTCGCGAGCTTCTCCCGGCGAGCCTCGTCCGCAAGAAACTCCTACCTGCTCGTGACCCCGCCAGCATCTCTCCTGTCCGCGAGCTCAACTCCGCCGCGACCACCTCCTTCCCGGCGAGCTCTTCCCCTTCCGGCGACCAACCCCAGCAGCGACACCACAAGCAGCCAACCCGACGAGCCTCCTCAGCCTTTGCCGTCACGAACAGGCTGTTGCTCCGCCACTCAGGCCGTTTCGGTGCCACCTCGAGCCACTGTTCGCCGCCGGCAACCGCAGCTCCTCCTCCGTGAGCCAGGCCTGTCCACGAGCAGCCACCATTCCCGAGTCGCTGCCCTATTTTGTCGGCGAGATGCGTGAAGCCGTCGAGCCCGTGGTCCCGTCAATCCGTTCGAACCATTCTCGCGTTTTTTAGAACGGTATCGAGCTTCGACCACTTTGTTATTTATTTTAGTGTTCGTTGATGTGTTAATCGTGCCTTGCGAATGTATATGCTCTTTGATGTCATGTGTATTGAATATAAAGATATATTATTGATGTTATTTATTATTGTCGTGATTTTATGTGAATGTCGTCGATTCGTACGAATCGAACGAGAACTCGTTCAAAGTGATTAGTTGTTGTGGATTTAGTAACTTAGGATTAATTCGAACACAATGGCGTTGGCCTTGTGTCGATTGGAAGTGTATAATTGCTGTTATAATTTTTCGAAATTGTTATTGGCTGTTTTAATTGACAAATTCACTATACATCGAATACTTGTCCGATTGCCTTGAAATTTTAGGAGCAGCTGCTTTTATGAATATATAGCTGCTATAAAATTTTCGTGACTTTTAAAGGTGTTTAGCTATTTTTAAAAATTAAATTATTTTCTGTTCAGTTTCTTGTAAAAGGCATAAGTAATTGTGTAGTGCTCCTTTTTAGCCAATTTTCGAGTATGTTATGTTTCAGGCAAGATTATATGTGGTGTAAAATTTTTAAAGTTTTTGAAATAGGTTTGATAGGGTTAACAATTTATTTTGTGGTTCTGGCCGAATTTATTTTAATTATAATAAATTGTTCTGAAGTTGAAACATTCTGAAAATTTGTGGAGAGGCTGATTATATGATTTTTAGCATGCTGTAAAAGATTAGAAGTTTTGGAGTTCAGTTGTGATCAGTTCTGATATAATTGTGATATTTGGATGACTGTGTTTTTAATTTTATAAAATTGTTATCCTAAGTGTTGGAGGCTGGCAAATTTATGTGATGCTGTTCATATGTTGTAGTATTTTTGATAAAAATTTCATAGCTTGAATCGTCCATTATCATGTGATTTTAATTTAAACTCCTTTTTGCTGAAAAACTTGTTTGAATTTTATAAGATTATGCATAAGGAGTTTGAAGCTGAAATTGGGTGATCTTACTTAGAACTGGGATGTGAAATTTATGTTAAAGTTTCAGAACTTAACTCATTGATTTGATATGCCTTCTAATTCAAGTGTGAATTTGAAAAATTGTTTTTCTATGTTGAAATGTGTTAAGTGTTGATGACCAAATGTGCCATGTGTTTTGCTTGTGGCTCGTTTGTTGTCTTTTACTTGCTTTTGTGTGAACTCTAATATGTGGTTTGGTCGAGTCTAAGTCCTACTGTTCTCATATCCACAGAACTTCACGAACCACTTGGTCGAACCGAGTTCGGCTAAGTCAACTTGTGAATTTGCTACATGGGTCTAGATTAAAGTGTTGACTTTAGTATCTGGACTTAATGTAGGTGTCGAGAGGTTTTGAACCTCGCCTTGTCTCGAGAATTGTGATTTGAATTGTAGCTGCTATCAAGTGGGTACATTTATGATGTATTCCATATTTATCGCACTTAATATTTTGTGAATGGGAAAAACATCTCTACTGTCTCCTGGAAAGGATCCCAGGCCCGTAGCCATTCGGTGATGGGAAGGTTTCCAGTTACTTCCTTGCGTGTGTGATCGGAAGGTTGTTGTATGTACATAGGAGGTTTGCGATAGGGCCAAGTAGGGAGTTAGACTGTTGGATTCTATGCATACTGAATACTATGGTTATGATGGTTTAAAATGTTATGCGAGATATACTGTGCGATAATGGTGAGCTTGTTGGTTATGCTCACCCCCATTATTTTCTTTGTTGTCTTTTCTCTTCCTTTGTTCTAGGTTGAGACGAGCTGGAGGCGGTGGCGTAGGACGAGCGAGATGGTGGTCATTATGTGTTGAAACCTATGCTTCCGCTTGAACTTAATACTTATTTATTTTGCTATTATGCTTTGAATTATTTACTGCTTCCACTTTTCGAACTAAGTTTAAGTATGTTGAACCGTGATCCTGCTAGACCTTTGGAAATGAATTTGAGACGTATGTTCTGTGGGATTGTTATTTTGATAACTCGAGCATGTGTAGGTTCTTAGATTGTTGGTTGTGTTTAATTGTTGTGGTTAATAAATAGCGCCCGATACTCGATAAATGTTTTAACTTGGATTAAAAAAAAATAACTTTGATTTTTTTAAATCAATGCGGTAAATTCTTTAAAATAAAACGGGGCGTTACAGTTTGGTATTAGAGCCAGTCTTGCTTTTCTGTAGACTGGTTCATATGTGATTAAGTGTTTAATGACCATTCGACCACTCGCTTCGTCACGCCGCGCCAGCTCAAGGTATGAGTTTTATTGTTTCGATTAATATCGATATCGTGATTATGGTTTGTGCTT